ACTTAAAATTCTTGCTCATTTGTATATAATTGTATTATTGTTTTACTGTTAATATGTTTAACTCATTTCTTCTCTTTGTGTCTTTATTCCTGGCCCCAAAAAGGCCACAACACTTCCATATCTCATTTTCTGAAGAAGCTTAAATAAAAACGAAACATGTTCAATTTATGTTTCCTATTTGTTGCTTATCTTATCTTCTATACAAGGTGTGGCAGAAGTAATGACCATTTTTATTTATTAACTTCTATTAAACAAAAATAAATTACTGTAGTTTAAGAAACTTTATATGTATTGTCACATGAAACCAACATGATCTGTTACGATTAACAAACTATTTAACATGTTCAAACTATTCCCCCTCATGCCCAGTACAATGCTGAACACTATCAGCAACACATCTACAAACCATTTGATACATTTCTAAATGTTATGCGTGGCGGATAGCAAAAAAAGCTATGTCCTCCGCATAGAGAGTTGGTTTCCTTCATCGCCACTTGTTATGGTCTGGTTCCTTGTACCACGGTGATAGTCCAAGGTAGAACCAATAAAGAAGAACTCAAACACAGGTATGGAATAACAGATATATTACAAACAGGAATATATACAGAGAAGTAGAAGTGTTAGTATGAACAATCAGGTGTAGTGTAGTTTCAACTAGTATCACTATTCCAATGTCTTGCAGTAATTGTCTGAACGTGACACTGTTTCGGACAGCCTCTGACTCAGCTCTTGACTCGACTTAAACTATGACTCTTTGCCTACTCCTGAGGCACAGTATTTATTAAGTATGGAATAGTCCATTATTATTATTATGGGTAAGATCCCATAACACTAAATTAATTTTTTAAAAATTGTTAGAAACTGCTTGTTTTAATTCTGATTTTTTTTGGTTTGAATTTGTAAACAAGAAAAGTGGTGTTAGATCTGGTGATCATGATGGCCACTCGATTACTCCATGTTGTCCTATCCACCTCAGTTGGAAAATAAGATTTAACCATTCCCAAACATGCAAGTCATAGTTAATCTTAAGTCATCTTAAACTATTGAAATTTACAATTGTTAATTAAAAGTTAACAAATAAAAAATGGTGTTACTTTTGTCACACCCTGTATATACATAAATTAAAATTAAGTTTACTTATTTGTACTTATTATTATTTGTAAGTACAATTTTCAAAGCTGCTTAAATTGTAATTATTAAGAATTAATAAAGAGATAAAATTCTGTATGAGCTTGACTAATGTATAAAACTTGATAAAAATGCTAACTTTTAGAGTCAAATTTCAAATATTATGTATCCATATTCTACAGTTAATTATATCTGAAACTTTTATAGAAAATATAAAGAAAAGTTATTGATGCAAAAATAAGATACAAATATATTACTGATGCTAAATGAATTATTCTTTCTTCTTTTTTAAAAAATTTTTGGGTCATTCCACATTCCAACATCTTGTTTCACAATTTGAAAGAAACTGTTTGAAAGTTTAAGTGTTTGAAAAACACATAAAATGTCAGAAGTTATTACAAATGAAAGTTTTGTCAAGACAAAACTTTTCAATGTTGTGGACTCACACAAATCAATTCTGATGTCTGCTATGTTTTATGCAAGGTTGGGAAAATATTTTGTCAGTAAAATTAAATTAAACGATGTATCAATTGTAAATTTAATCTACATCAAGATGGATTTTATATATTTAGTTGCTTATTTTCTTATTGCAATCCCAGAATTCCTTCTGCAGCCTTTTCTTTATATTAAAAAAAAATTCACACTTTTGCATTTTAAGTTTTTCAGTTTTCTTTTTATGGACGTTTCTGCTTTGTTGAATGTCTTGGTTTTTTTGTTTTTTTTTTGTTCATCTCATTTTTATTCATTTTTATAATTCTAGGTGGGGCTGTAACTTATTAAAGATTTTATTTGCAAAAAAAAAAAAAAATAGACAAACAAGCAAGCAAAAACGAGAAAAAAAAATATAGACTGGATGAAATATAGGAACTGAATAATTTGTAAATTTGGTTAAAGAAAAGAAGAAAACTGAAATAAAAATTGCATATTATTTAATTGGTTCGGAAATTTAATTCAGCTCTGAAATTGGGAGTTGTTTCCTTCTCTCTTCATACATCTGCTCTTTTTTTGTAATATTTTTTGTTTGTTTTTGACTCCTTTTTATTTCATTTCTTTAACAGAATTAAGTATGATATTTAAAGAAAAAGAATTATTCATTTTAATGTACAAAAAATTGATTTACATTCAAATTTTGATCTATGTTTTCTAAAAACAAAAATAAAGAAAAACAAGAAAAAGATAACCAACTTCTTGGTGAAAAGCTAAAAGATAATGAGAAAGAACAGTTAGATAAATATATGAATGTTCTTTGGTGTGTGTATACACATAAATACATACATAATATATATACATATGTGTGTGTGTGTGTTAAGATATTTACATTTAAAACACAGCCAATGCACTTTTACTTTTCAAAATATTTGTTTTGTGTTATTATTTTCCCCTCATACAAGTAAAATGCTTAAGTTCTGACAGCATTAATGATTTTGTAGTTAATTGAGAAACAAATAAATATTTAAAATATCATGTGGATATATTTCGATATGAACAGCAAAAATAATGATAATATCCTTCACACACTGAAAAGAAGGATTTTAAAGTAACTTCTCATTGTCTATAGGAAAAAAAATTATGATGCTGCTGGAAACCATTTTGTTCATTATTCACTCATTTGCAGCTTTTTCAGCAAGTTCAAGAATTAGTTGTCTAATTTAGCATTATTCTTCTTTTATGGCCTATGTCTCTTCATGGCTCCCCATAATTTCTTTTCTATTGTAGCTATTAGTAAATTTGGAATTTAGCATTAACATTTATTAATGGAGTATTTTTACTTAAAAATTTCCAATAAGAAAAAAATAAATAAATAAAAGCTCCTTTGTCAGTATAAAAGTAAAAACAATTATTATTTTAAAGCAATTTTTACTGTTTCAGTTATATTTTTTCTACAGAGAATTTTACTAAGATTAGCTTAGTTTGGCAAAAGATAACAAATATTAGAACTGAAATTACTATACTAATAGTTTGTAAAACTCATTCTTGTTTTTAACCACTGTTTCCCAGTAACATATAAAAGTTGATCTTTACTAAGCTCAGTTCAGTACACCATTCAGACTAACTAATTTCCTGAGTGACATCAGTTCTAACCCCAACAGCTAAAACCAGTCATGCCATGCACTTTGTACCAAACCAGACGCTTTCCTTTTGTATTCCATTGGTGAGATGTAAGTTCCACACAAACTGCCACTTTGTGGAACTGAATCCCAAGAGGATGCTTCCCTGGTCACTACAATCTCAACATGTTCAAGACTAGGGTTAACCATTATCTTCCCCATATATCTTCATAAACTGTACCTCTTACTTCTTACTCATTAACTTTCTATTTTGAGTTGCTCTTGAACATTTTATAGAGTGAACATTTTTATAAAAGAAAAGTACAACAAAAGTGAGTTTTGAACTCTTTACAACTATAAGATTAGCTTGCTCATAACTACTTTATGTTCAGACACCATTGAAACATTCTTACTGACAAGATACAGTCAAGAAAAAACAACTTCCATATCTCAATTTTCATATAATAAAAATTTCAATATTTGTACAGCCATTTGAACTTTTTTACTATATCTCTTTCCAAATAAGTTATCATGTTTTACTGAAGCAATTTACTAAATGGTAATGATAATATTAACCGTATCCTTATTCTGAAAAATAGGTTTCCCAAGTTCAGTTATCACTTCCTAACATTTCTTCTGTATGAAGATACCATGTTGTTTGAAAAAAAAAATGTCTTTTTCAAACTGTATATTTTTCTTGTCAGAATACATTTTTCACATTTATAAATCTCCCATTTGTCTGTGCATTTAATAGTAATATCTGGTCTGGTGCACCTGCTATATATCTCGGGATTCTCAAGGCACTTAGGGGTGGTGTAATGGTTAGCAAGCTTGTCTTGCTAGAACAATTATGACTGAGTAGTGAGTTTGATCCTCAATGGTGCCCATAATTTCGGCTTTGTGCCAAATCTAAGCTATGCTTGGAAAATCACTACATCTCGAGATTCTTGACAAAATCCAAAGAAGGGTCTGTAATGTAATCAATCCTGACTTGACTTCTTGACTTCATCTATGATGTGGCTTCCCTCTGTCTTTTCTACAAATATTTTCATGGCAACTGTTCTTGGTGGCTTGACTGCATGTATTTAAGCATACTACTCGATAGGCAACTAGGTCTTACTGTTTAACTGTTGAAATAGATGGAACTGCATGTTACATTCTAATAGTTTCTTATCTTGAACGTCATGCATGTAGAACTCAATTTTGATTTCTTACTTCCCTGCCACCTATAATATTTAAAAATTGAAATCCTGTTCTTTTATTGTCCTTTCTCCTCAATAAAGTCTTCTCATTCTCTTTCCCTCCCAGTAACCCCTTGCATCCGAGTAGCATTATCACCTTACTTGAAGAGAAATGGTTAAAAAAAGTTAGTCTTTGACAAGAATAACAATACCAGATATGAATAGTGTAAATAATCTTATAGTATTCTATAGCAAAATGAAATAAAACAAGACAAAGTCAAGGTCTTTTTTAATATATACCAAAATGAGTAAATGAATAAATAAAGACACACAAACAAAAAAAAAAAATCAACAAAATATATTACTTAAATTTGTAAATCAAACACAACTTATTTAAATTTGTATGGTCTTCTAAGTTAACTGTATATTTTATGAAGTTTGTTGTTTCTTTTAAATGTGTCTGTAAGTAAAAAGCAGTAAATCTGAATGTCTTTATTTGAGCAATAATTTATTAAGTCAGAATATTAGATTACTATTTGTCTAGGAAAATCTATAAGTTTTTCTCTTTCTTCATCACACACACTCAAGTTTATCTATGTCGTCACAAAAGAATGGTAATATCTAAAACTGATTTTATAGCTTA